GTCTAGGTCCAGGAAGGTCATGTCACATGATCAATGACAAAACAGAGTTTTATTATTTCAATTGCTATGCTCTATTTACCATATCACAAACTACCACAATATCACATATTAATAGGATGATTCAGAAATAAGGAAGAGAGGGATACTAGGACAGGATCATTTCACCTCTCAGATTACACCACACAGTTGCTGCACGTTACACTAGTTCCTATTTCAATACTTACAAGGTCAATCTTGAAAATGCCAGGGTAAAGCAAATTGTCAGAAAGGTCTGAACAAACTGGTTTGACAGAACCAATTCATGCTGCTTTTGCTTAAAATGATTTTTAGTGAAAATATTATTATATTTGGGCTTAAACACCCTTTGAAAGATTTGTCAGGAAGAAAATAAAACATTGATGCTTTAGGCCCAATGACATGGAGACCTAGACATTAAACAAATGTGGTCAGTCTGTTTTCCTAAAAAGGCAAAAATTTAAAATCTCAAATTAATGGATAGTCAGCACAGAAACAAATTCAGCTCTAATCAGAGTGATTTGAATGTGTATGCTATTCCCAGATCAGAAGGCAAAGAAGATGCAGCAAAACTTCTGAATCAAAGGAGAAGTTGTGTTTACAGAGCATGTTGATTGCTTTAAAAAGTTGACTTGTATTTTGGCTAGAATTGCTTTAAATGTGTAGATTTAAGGATTTTCAAGAAAAGACACTTTGTTATTAACTAAAGGCACCATTCTGCACAATAGTTCTCTTGAACTATTTTTTTCTATCTCATTGAAAACTTTAACACTTTGATTAATATTTTCCCAAACATGTCAGTCAACTCTCTCCTTCTGTATGTTTGCCTTTTTTTAGATTCTACATATAAGTATGATCATGTGGTATTTTTCTTTCTTTTTTTAAAGTTTAACTTAATATCCTCTAGGTTCATCCATATTGTCACAAATAATAGGGTTTACCTTAAAAAAAAACTGGACAGTACTCTATTGTGTATCTGTACCCCATTTTCTTTGCCTCTCCATTTGTTGCTGGACACTTAGGATGAATTCCTATCTTGGCTATTGTGGACAGTGCTGCAATGAGCATTGGAGGGCAGATGTCTCTTTAACAGTTTGATTTGGTTTGCTCTGGGTATGTACCCAGGATTGGAATTGATGGATCACATGGAAGCTGTAGTTTTAAAAAATTTTTGAGCATTCTCCATACTAAAATGCCTGTTCTAATTTATATTTCCTCCCACAGTGTGTGCGCCTTCACCAACACTTGTAATCATTTGTCTTTTTGATAATAGCTATTCTAAAAGATCTGAGGTGATATCTCATTGTGAGTTTAAATTGCATTTCCTTGAGAATGAGTGGTATTGAGCATTTTTCCCATATACTTCAGTCTTAGTTTGAGAAGTGTCTATTCAGGTCATTTCCCCAATTGTTTTAAGTCAGGTTAATTGTTTTCCTGCTATTGAATTGAGTTTCTTATGTATTTTAGATAGTATCACATGGGTGGTATGTAAAAATTTTCTTCTACTCTGAGTTAGCCCTTTACTCTGTTGATGGACTCCTTTTACTATGCAGAAAACTTTGAATTTTATATAATCCCATTTTGTCTATTTTTGCTTAAGAGCAATTTCCAGTACATCCCCCGCCTTCCTACATTTCTTAGTCCATTTCATTCTTCAGATACCATAGAAAATGTCAGGTCCTTAGAGATATATTCTGTCCAAAAGTAATTCTTCTTGCATGGTGTTAACAAGTTCTATCACATCACTGATTTCCTTTATAGGACATGCATAATGACATTTATCTCACTTTATTTGTATTTTCATTTACTCACTGTCTGACCCCAATAATCTCTAAGCTCTAAGATGGGAGGAGCCTGGTATATCTTAAGACTTTATTCCTGGATACAGCACAATTAGTGAACAAATACTGAATTAGACCTGCAGAAATGCACTGATTTTCTTAAAATACATAACTGTCATGATATGTTTAGCTGATTCCCTAATGAAAGTGTCAGTATAAATAGGAACAACTCTTAGAATTTGATTTTTTATTGTATTTTTCTTCTGGGAAGCAAAACAAATCCTCTAATTTTCCACATGTATACACAGAAGCCCAGATATATTCAGTGTCAGGTTTGTAGCAGAGTTCTGAACTCCTGACTGGTGATATTTGCTACCTCATTATGAAAGAAAGTCCTGCTATGGTATGTAACCACAGGTGACTTCTCAGTGGATTTTCTAGTCCTTTTACTCAACCCTCAACTGGCATCTTGGTCAATGATTAAAGATGTTCTTCACAGTCAAAACCAGACTAATAGGGTTGGGGTTGTGGCTCAGCAGTAGAGCGCTCGCCTCGCATGTGCGAGACCCTGGGTTCGATCCTCAGCACAACATACAACAAGTGAAATAGAGGTGTTGTGTCCAACTACAACTAAAAAATAAATATTAAAAAAAAAACAAAAACAAACAAAAAAACCAGACTAATAAAGGTTATCTACTCACTAATATAATCCTTTGAAACCTATAGAATATTGGGGGAAAAATGATCCTACAGAGAATACAAAAAACATCACATAACTTCAGAAAGTGACTTTTCTATAAATGGGCCATTCTTGTTAAGAAAGGTGCCTAACTGAAAGTATGGCCAGGGCTATTCAGATGAATTTAATTCTCATTAAGCATTAACTGAATTTATATACTAACATTGGCTACTTTTAATCAACATTTATAATGTTTTCTTATTAACATAAAAGTAATTATAAAATTTATTGGTCTACCTTGGAAGAGACTCATGTTTAAGCTGAAATAATATGAAAATGGAAATGGCTGATGTGTTTTACAGTTATTTTCAATTAGACATGTCTGTACCTTGTTTCATACACCCATAGCTTAATATGTGAGGATCATAATGTAGTTGTCAGTATTTATTTTTGAATTATTATAATTCAAAAAGATGTTGGAATCACAATGGTGATTTTTTTTTTTTAAATTTCTGCTCTACTCTTTATCCTTTCTACTAGCCGTGGGCTTAGTTTGCTTTTGTTTTTCTAGTTCCTTGAGGTAAAATGCTAGGTTGCTTTTCTGGATCTTCGTGATGTAGATGTTCATAGCTATGAACTTCCCTCTTATAACTGTTTTTATTGCATCCATATTTGGGTATATTGTTTCTGTTTTTGTCTCAAGATTTTAATTTCCCTTTAAGTTTCATTGGCTCATTGATTGCTCAGGCCCAGGTTGTTTCATACCATTGTAGCTGGAAAAATATTTGATATGATTTCAATTTTTCTTACATTTGAGACTTGCTTTGTGGCCTAATAATGATCTATTGTAGAGCATGTCTTGTGTGAGCTGGGGAAGAACACATATTTTGTTGCTGTTGGGTGGAATGTTCTATACATCTGTTATGTCTGTCTAGCTTAAAGTGCAGTTTGTCTGATACTTCCTTGTTAATTTTCTGTCTGGAGAATCTGTCCGTTGTTGAAAGTGGAATATCAAAGAACTGCACTATTTACCATTCCTCTCCCATCAGATCTGCTAATATTTCCTTTATGTGGGATGCCACAATAATTTGAGCTCCTGATTTAATACTTATTTTATGAATGAATGAGGCCCCTAGCAATGCCTTACTGTACTCTCATCTAACACCATGGACAACCTGAAGGGTTATTGTGATCCTTATTTTACTAAGAAAACTGCATTAGGTTAAGTAGCTTGTTTCACTTCACAGGAGAGCTAATAAGTAAATGGCAGTGCTTACTTCCACATCAAGGCTGTTTGCCACAAAGACCAATTTGCTTGCCCCCCAACGCAGCCCCACCCCAACACTAGGTTATGTTATATGGTATTGACATTCAAAGACACTTGACTATGACAGTTACATCTTAAATGACATGGACATACATCCATACATTCACATAATGGGAACAAACTTAGGTTTTTACTTTTATTGACTGTGATATTTTGTATTGAATTTTTTAAAAATGCCAGTTATAACTCCTAAATTGATATAATGACCCCTTAGATTTCCACCTGTATTTTGAAAGCCCCTATTCCAATGCCCCTTTTGGACATTCTGCCATCTATCCAATTATAAAAATGGTACAGATTGAATTTTATTAAGAAGTCAAAGCAACATGGGTCAGTTACCACAGATCATCTTAATAATGTATTCCAAATTTGATTTTGTTTTCTCCTTTGTTCCTTGAGTATGCTAACAGAATCCTTGTCTTTAGATAGGGCATGATATTTATATCATCAGCCTAACTACTCAAATGAGATATAATCTAAATTTTGTCCTTAAGCAGGAGAAAAATACAGTGGGCCACTTAAATGTAGATATGTTGGTCTATGATTGAGTGTATTCAGTTTGGTTCCCAGGATGTCTTTTTGTAGACACTAGAGAGTACCAGCTACTGCTAGGGCACCCAGAACTTGGGTCCAGCTCAAAGGAGTCATTGCATTCCAGTCTAAGCCTGTTTCCCAGTCTCCCTCCTTCCTACACCTGGGCCCTTGTTCTAGTCTTCCCTCCCTGCTGAACCCTTCTCTGTGCATGAGGTCAGAGCTGTGCACCTCCAGGGTTGGCCTGGTCAAGGTAAAGCCCAGAAAGAATGAAATGCAGTTTTGCCTTGATGAAAAGGTCTTCCCCTATTTCACCCCAAGTGACATCTTCACTACAGGTTTTCTTATTTGATGCTTGCAGATGTTTAACAGTATCAGTGCAGGTGTAGGTGCTTTAATATAAAAACCAATTCTGGCCCCAAAAGGGTTCTCAACAACAAGCAAATGTTTCTTAAATTAAAATTGTACTTTGTTGGTACCTACTGGGGGAAGGGGTTGTTTTATTGCTGGAGCTCCACTTAAGTGTTCGCTACATTCTTAATTCAACCAACACTTTTTAGTAAGGGTGAGTCTGTGAATAACTAATGAAATAACAGCACAGTGGAAGTTTTAAGAACATTCCTAAATTGAAAGTTAGAGATAGAAAATACAGCAAAACTATTTCACTAATTCAATATTTTATTTTGTGTCAAAGCATCTTAACTGAGTTGAATAACTAATTTCATCAATAATTTTAGAAAATCACTTCTAGAAAATATCAATTTTAATATCAGTTGTGCTAATAGAAATAATACTTAAGAGGGGATTAACTCCAAATTAATTTATTGAAGTCTTTATGCAGGTATCTCTTATATCCACTTAGGTACAAAACTTTTTTAAGAAAGATAACACTTTTATTGCATTATAGTTTCATATTTTACAGGAGTTATAATGCAAACTCATAAGCATAAATATATACATGATGCAACCAAATGGCAATGTAGCCAATAAAGTATTCAAAATGTAAAACTAGAATTCAACAGGCAAAATACTTAATATGGCTTGTAATGGAAAATAACTGCTTAGAAATGATTTGTTATTTATTGCCCCATTCTAGTCATTCTCCATTAAGTGAACATAAAATTATGATCTCCATTTAAAATGATACATATTATCTAAGCCAATGTTATACATATTTTGTAACATATGCAATGTTTCCTTAAATATACATATGTACATATGTACAGAGAGCAATATACAGTACAGAGTTCTAATACCCCTGAACATCTTGATTAAAACTATTACAATGTTTCTATTAAAAAACTACTTGAAAAGTTGGCATAACTTCTTGATATTGAAGTTCAATCCTACAGAATTTAAAAAAAAAAGAGTTATAAATACATTCTTTACAAAAGATTGAATAGTGGTCCCGCACTCATACTTTATATTACAGTGTTTGAAGGTATTTACATCTTGTCCTTGGTGTTTGAGAGAAATATACAGGAGTTAATAGTGAGAATGTTGTAGGCAGGCCTATTGGTTAGGTTTTTCTACTTTGTTCGTGTTGGTGTGGGTTCCAATTCTCTTCTCTGGAATTGTTGTTGATTTCTAGTTGCCTTGTATTACTGCTGCTGCTGCTTTTTTTGGTGTTCTGGGAACACTGGGTGACTTTACTTCTAGGAACAGGAAGGAAAGATTTAACTCTTGAGACACCCGACTCGGTCTTTGATTTACTGTTGCTGCGTTCGGTAGTTTGATGGCTGCTGAGAGGACTGACCTCCTGCAAGAGAAGAGAAACCAAACACACTTATGTTACTGACTTAACGGTTGCCCTCATGCTCCTGTCTGAGCAAACATAGAAATTCTCTCCTGACACAGGTTTTCATGAAAAACTATACAAAATGTAATAGAAGCTGAATGATTCACTCCAGTAAACATGCTTAATTTTTATTAGGCCCTTCCTGGTGTCACCAAACTAACTACAGGGGTCAGTGAGACAAATGCTAATGACTCTAGGATCTCCTTACCAACAGGAACTTCAAAAACAATAAGCTATACTAGAACAATCAAGTACTTGTAGGCAGCTCCACAAATTATGTCACCTAGGGTCAGTCAACTTTTACATTTTTCAACAATACTTTTAAAGCCTTCACTGAGATAAGTGTTGTTCTAGTTGCTGAACACCTAAGAGAAACCTACCTGCCTAATGGAGCTTATGTTCTGGAGAAGTAAGGGTCCTGCTCAGCAATTCTGTGACTAAGTGGCTCAAAACCTTCCATAAAGTCACATGTTATCATCCTTTCTAGAGTTTCAGAATCCTTATGAACACCAGGCCCATGTCTTCATTTTTCCCACGAGGAATCTGAGAGCTAGACTCACAAGATGATTCACCTACACTCTAAGAATGAGGAAGCTGGTACTTTCATCTGGGTGTTTTCCCCTATACTGCATTAAATTCTGCAAACAACACACGAGACCTACTAAGTGAACTGCTCTGTGTACTTGTGAAACAGCTAACATTGATTACTTTCCCTCTTTGACAAGATGACTTGATTCAAAACCAGAATGTAACAGGGAAAAAAGATCAGCTGCTTTCTCCTGGATGTCCTAAGTTGGTGGTTCTCGGTGTTGGTCAAAACACTGGAATCATCTGGAGATTGACTGGTCTGATGCCCATAGATTCATATTGTTTGGGGTGTGGTGGCATGGACACATGGCTTACCAAAATCATCCACATGATTCTAATGTGCAAAGTTGAGAACCCTCCCTTGACTCCTCAGTGTTTTTGATCTCCACTGACCTATTGAATGAAGGCATTGTTCTTAGCCCTGTGTTCACCTCAGATTGTTGGTGATCTTTTATTTCTGCCCATCTGAATGTTTCAATTTTCATCATGTATAACTCCCATAATTCTGGCTCTCCTTTATGTTGTGAGCTTGAGAATGACATTTCTACCCATTAATCAACAAAATTCACCTATCTCCAGCTTGCATTTCAAATTTGCTAAAGCCAAATTTATATTTATTCTCAATCCCAACCATTTCTAAAGTCTTTCTTATTGGCTAAATATGCTGTTCTCTCAGTTTAACAAGAGACTTCAGTCTCCCCTCTTCCATTTAATCCTATGTTGACAGAAAATTTTGGCTATGCTAACAGAAAACAAGTGGATGGCTTAATAAGAATTAACTTCAGAAGTCCTAAACATCTAGGCATGTCACTAATGGTCTTGATTCCAACCGCTTTCCTTCTACCTCCCCCTAGTAAAGTACACGTGATAGGCTTTATTAGGACATTAAATCACGGAAGTGAATACCTGTGCCAGATCCTTGGCTCTAGCTGATCTTCAATGGTAAGACAACTGTGCAACTCTAGGAAGGGTATGGATATGGGTCTAGGACATTTGTAGGGGAAGGGAAAGAAAGAAGTCCAGATTGCCAAACTGTGACTGAGGAAGGTGATGACTTTAGGACAAAAGTTCTCTCTGCAGAGCATCATGAAACATAAAATACCAAGAAGCATCCACAGCAGAGGAGACTCTGGCTGGGGTGCTGGGGCTAATCAGCCTCTGGAGGTGTGAGGAGAATATAAGGCATCACTGGGCCACAGCAGTCTAAGTCGGGGAGATCAAATGCCTGACAGTGTCCTGTAGGAAAGAGCAAAGTTACTGACACCCAAGTACAGCTTTCTGGGTCTTTTTCTCAAAGCTAATATCCACCACCAGCTCCTTCACATAGGAAAGTTAAGGGTGGTTAATGTTTCCTGAGCTCTAAAGTTCTTCATATTAAGCATATCAGGTTACTCTCAATGTTGTTAAGCATATGAAACTCAAAGAAAAACTCCAATTTGAATAGAAGTGTACTACCCTAACATTTCAATTAGCCTTAAGGAGTGATTGTTAAATCAGAGCCATTCATTCCATTCAATACTGAACATCTGAAGTCAAGAAAATACCATAATCTATCTAGATCATAAAATAGGGGGCAGGAAAACAGAGATTGATCTTTAAAGATGTACAGGACTGTAAAAAGGACAGACAGTGGAGAAGTGTATAGAAAGTTTCATGAAGGGGAGCTGGGATATAGCTTAGTGGTTCAATCTCCAGCACTGCTTAAAAAAAAAAAAAGTTATGTGCAGGTATATCAACACCTGTAAAGAGACATTTGGAAAGAAAGAAACGGGGGTGTAAAATGAGGATGACAGATCAGAACTATATTTTAGAGTAGTGGCTTGTAGCCCTGACTTTAAAACGCGCAGTGTCCAGGCCCCATCCCAGACAGTTACATCAGAACCTCTAGGGGGCAGCATGCGGGCACTGGGGATGAAGGGAAAAGAAAACTTCAAGTGGATTTTATCCTGAAAGGTGAGAATTTTTGCTTTAAGGAGATTAGTTTACATTTACATAAAACATTTATTAGTAATTGCTATTGCTGATTTAGTTATTTAATTTTAACTAAGGGCAGCTGGTTATCATGACTCTCAATTAATAAACCCAATTACAGGTCTTTACTGTTAGAGTAGTAAGGGGTTACATTGTGTTGCATAACGAGGACAAAGAAGTTACTTATTTTTGTTTTCTTACAGAGGCAGAACTAGTCTTCTGGCCGTGAAGGAGAAAAAGCTTTCAACTAACCCAAAGCTCTTACCTTAAAGGGGAGTTACTTCCTGATAACAGAAGAAACTGGGCATGGAACCAAGGAAAGCTAGTTATCAGGAGGATAGAAAAGGAATCCCGTCTGCAGCTTTCAGAAGGCTGCTGAATGAGTGTCCTTCGCCCTCTGCTGGCCAGATCTGAGAAAAACATCTAGCTATCAGGAAAGCGCCCCTCCAAGACTCAAAGGTGTTCCTCATTTCCCATCACACTGCACATTTAAACAACCACACCATTCATTTTACGAGCCCAGATGAGATGACCCATTTAAAAGAAAAATCACTCTTTCAAGACAAAATTGTTCTGAGCTGCCCACAGCTTAATCATTTTCAGTACTATTTGTTATGGACAGAACCTTATTGTAGTAATGCAATATGGTCATGTGACAGAGAAGAAAGGATACAAAAACATTTCGCCATCAGGCATTTAAATAACAGGAGCGAGTCTCTACCACACAACAATTTTATACAGGAAAGTGACAGCTCTATGGAGAAAGTGGCTCATCATTGTACTCACAGGCCCTTCCTGTGACTGTTCCACAAGGAGTCCTAAGAAATGAGCTCTTGTCTCCAATCAACCAAAGCTCAGGGCAGGCCATCATATATCGACAGCAAATCGAGACTCTAAAGATGACAAAGGGTGCTGAGGGTGCAGCTCAGTGATAGAGCACTTGCCTACCATATGTGAAGTCCTGGGTTCAAGTCCCAGTACTGCACACATAGACACACAAAAGAGAAAGGGACAGACCCTGAGCAAAGTACTCTCCAACCAAAATGCTCAGTCAGTAGTGACCTTAAATATTCTCTAAATTTCTAAACTGATCCCATTTTTAAGGGGGGGGGGGGTAACATTAGGATAGAGTGAGCTTAAAAGCCCTATTCTTCTTCACAGGTCAACATGCTATGCATTTTATTAGGGACCCACCCCTGAAAATCCCCTCCTTCTTCCTTCAATGAACAGTTCATCCGGTTCCACATATCACCAGAACTGAAGTCTAATGAAGCAGTGGCTGTGCAGTCCAGGGCTGCCAGTGATCAGATAAGGATTTATAATTTAATAGTTACACTGTGCCCACTTTATAATCCTGCCCTCACACACACAGGTCTTTGTAAGCTGCCATGGGACTAGACAAGAACAGGATGTGATAGCAAATGACATGGTTGGGTGAACAAACCACACACTCCTAAGTGCCTCTATGAAATCTGCATCCTCATAAAATAATGAAAGGGTAAGAAGTAGTTTTATTGTTTACCCAGGAATGCGTGCTGTACTGTCTCCTGCCACTTATTAACTAATCAATAATGGTCCAGTGCCACAGTTCTGAAAGCAATTTCAAGAGGTTAGTGCAATCTATCATAGTCTTGGCTCTACTTGTCACTCTGGTTTATTTTAAAAGGAAAGTTTCTCACTGAAGCATAATGCAGGTGATAAAATTAAGATTTAAACATGTATAAGATCTTTATGCTATCACTTAGCCCTTTGCTGTAACTCGAATTTTCCAGAATGCAAGAAATCTTAGAAGTTCTTAAATGGAAAAAAAAAAAAAAAAAACATTTAAAAATAGAACAACCAAGACAACAGAAATTAGTTTTAGTTTGGCATACAAGAATGAAAGCAAAGGGTGATCTTCTCAAATGACACCTCAAATACTGGACTGAAATTAGAATATCAAATAGAAGGAAAAAAGGAATGCTTTCTTATGTCATTACTTCAAGATACTATTCAAACAACAATCTTTCCTATCTTGATTGGTTAATGAGAACTTTTACGTTTATCCTATTTCTCATTTCCTAGTTGTGATTTAAAAATAACTTTGTGATTCACACTGAAAAATTTATGAACTAAATTCTACAATAACTCTTTTGGGTCCCATTTTTGGGAGAAGGGGACACTCACCTTTTGTGACACTGGCATTCTTGTATTATTAACAATTGCTGAAAATGCAGGGTTGTTTCCTGAACTATCAAGCCTCCTTAAATCATCCCTGGAATCAGCAATCTGGAAGATAGAGAATTTATCAAGTCATGTCTCAACAGTTACACTCAAAGCACAGTTAAATATCACATCAGGAAACCCACAGAAGTACTGTCCTCTTCCCTGACCCTGGGGAGTTCCATACAACAGGCCCCCCAAATTCTGCATTGTTCATATGAAAGATTTGAGGGCTGCATGTTAAACCAACACCAAGTACATGAGAAATATCCTGAAAGGGAAAAGAGTATTAAATAGGTCAAAAGAAGAGCAAAATAATTCTATAGGAAGACAAAGTTGTTTGTCAAGTAAAGAAAGGGTAAAATTTGCCAGATTTTAATCATTACCTCATTTTTCTAATGGATAAGAATTTCAATTCATTTCCAGCAAAATTAAATAAAAGCCAATTCTACTTGGTCCTAGAGAGTATGAGTGTTCAAGTATAATAGTTGAGTCTTTCAATGGAACCTCTGCAAGTTAGAACTATCTTCATAGGCTCTCTTCCAACTAAAAGGCATCTGTCAAGAAGTTTGGTCAAACTGTCTATAGATGACAGAGGCCAAGACAGGTTGAACTTGATGCTCTTTCCATATTTGGAAAGTTCACAGCTTAAAGACCATAATTATATGAATTATGTAGGTCAATTATTTTTTGTACAGGGATTACTAAAATTCTGCATATAACCTGAATTTACTGTTAAACTTGTTATAATTCTGATACATGACTTATGTACCAAAATTAGAAATAAGGAATAGCTTGACGAAAGTCAAATTTATGATTTTATAAAAAGCTGACCAAATATGTTGGTGTGATTTGTGCTAATGCAGTTAAGATACAATTTAAACTTCAGGTCTTTGAGAAGAATGTTTGGGAAAATGTCTTTTCTAAGCAAAGTGAGGAATAGTTTCATTTAGAGCAATAACTATACTCTTCAATAAACAATTTCTTTTACGAAACAAGTATTATCATGTGGCTCCAAGTGTCCTTCCCCCATATTTGTTATTGGTGCATTATAATTATACAAATTGATGGAATTCAAGGGTCCCTTTATAAAGGTAGGTTTTTCTGCTATTTCCAGTCACTGATGTCACCTATTTGGACTACTTACCTTGCTTATATCAGATTCAGATTTGCTGGAACACATACTCTGAAGTTCTTTGACGAGATCTGCTTCATCATCTGAACCCAGAGAGAGTCTCTGGTCCAAAGTCAAGGTTAATGACAGATCATTCTCCAAGGACCTAATGCAAAATTTCAGAAATGAATTTCTCATGTGAGAACAATAACCCAATCCCCAATATGGAAATCTAGGTACTGGTACCTTTTTTGGGGATTTGGTGTGGGATAGGGAAAGACTTTTTATTATCCTTTCAAGTATTTCATAAGTGTCATTTAACGCAACAACCCACTTCCATACCCTGAAAGATTAGAACACTTCAGTAATAAATCTCCACAGGATTTTAACTCCTACTCAAAATTCTTTATAGAATAAAATTTTATTCAACAAAGACATCTACTTGGACCGACAACATTCCAACCTTTCTCTCCCCTTTTTTCTTTTCTTTCAAACTAGACAAAATAAAGATGCTAAGAAGTACCATGTTACGACAGACAATATGATACAGTGGAACAAATATAAAACTTGGCTCTGAGGCAGGATTTCCTTTTTCCCTTTGCCCCTTAATTTCTGAGTTTCCTTCTCTATAAGAAATCCTTACACCTATTTCATAGGATTATTGCAGAAATTATGTAGGTGGTGGTATGTGATGGAACTAATGGTTGGTACATGACTCTCTAGGCTCCTATGAGACCTAATGCAAACTGCCCCAAATTTTCTAGTCTGAGTGACTCAATCGTCCTTAACATCTCAATCTATAAGCTGAAATCAGCAACAGTTCCCTAGGGACAACATAAAAATAGTTGAAATTATCACTATAAATAGATAACTTAAAGGTACATAAGTCATGCTATGTTGTATAAATCTGAAAATAAAAAAAAAATCATCTAAAGACTAACCAAAAGTTTATAAATGCAGGAGTTTACCATATATTTGTCAAATGCATTAGCAATGATCAAGTTTGATGAAAATGAAGTCTAATATTTCTAGCCTTATTTAAAAGCAAAATATTAACATAAAATTAAATGTTTATTACACTTAATATAAATATTTTTTAGATTTCATTCATTATATTTCAATTTAATGCCAGTATTAGAACATCTATTTCATCATATTAATAGCTTAATAGTTGCACAGACTGATTTATCTCTTAGCTACAAGTTAAATCTGAAAGGAGAACTTACTTCTGCTTTGACGGACAGGCACTCCTGTTACAATTCAACTGCGATATAGTCTTACTTTTTATACCTGTTAAAAAAATTATAATCATTTTCAATAGAATGGATCATCCCTGTGCATACTGAACTCTATATTTAAAAGAAACAGACTCTGGACCCTGCAATACTTTAATACTGTTGTTGGACTAACATCTACCTTGTGAGAATCCCCCAGGAACAGCCTCCTATGTAACACTGCCACAAGGCCAGGGAATAACCAACGCCCTGTTGTACAGTGATGACTGAACTCAGCAAAAGAGTACCATCTGGAGCTCAATTCAGGAATACTGAACTTCACTTTTATCAGGACCTCCTCTTTTCACTAGTCTACATTTCTTTATTTTCAAAGAATCAAAAGAAAAATTTACCATCTGCTACTGAATGCTCCTCTTCTCTACCCTTGTCTGTTTCCCAGCATCACTGACTCTGTAATCAAGTGCAGTGTTGGATGTGTGGGCGTGTTCATGTGCTACAGTACATGTGGCATTAGCAATGTACTCGTAGAAATTTCATTTTTAATAGTTATGCATCATTTAGGAAATAGGAACAGCATACAAAGAAGCATGGAAATTATAATGATGTTTTTCAAACTGATATACTGAAGAACAGAAAACAGTCTGTACTGCATGCATAAATTTGATTTGTATCAGTTATATATACTTAAGCCAACACATAGGTCTATGGATATTGGACATGATTGATACAAGATATATCTGACTGGCCTATAATCAAAAACATTGGAGAAACACTGTTAAACCATTTTAAATGCCACTAAAATATCTGTTTCTGTAATGTTCACTCCAAATTTATAAACACACTTGAGCATTTAGTTGCTTCTCAATGAATTCTAAAATTGTATGAATATTGCTCCACAAAATATTCCCTACAGAATGTCTTTAAAAAATAAATTGAATTTAACATATTCTCATTAAAAGTAGATCATCAAAGACAATTATGTACTAGTTTATTTGCTCATATTTTTTCATTATCTGAAAGTACTGACTAGTGGCTTTCCCCTAATTACTTTTTTTTTTTTTTTTTTTTGAGATAGGGGTCCCTGTGTTGCCCAGGCTTGCTTCAAACTCTTGATTCTCCCATTCTTCTGCCTTAGCCTCACACATGGCTGGAAATACAGGCACCCCTACTTACTAAAGAAATACCCAGGCTTGGACTCTGCCCTTGGAAAGCCTGTGCCAACATCATCTGCCTCTCTGTTTTAGGTAAGAAAGGAAATAAGCTGTGTCTTTACCAAGTTTTATGAATGTCCATAGTGATCTGCATGTAAAGGATTCATGTTGTGGTGTTATATTTTGTTTTTTGGCGGTGTTAGGGATCCAACTAAAGCCCTCCAACATAGTAGGCAAGTGCTCTCCCACTGAGCTACATCCCCTGTCCATGTGGTATTTCAACAATTGTGTCAAAACTCAACTCAACTGTACTAATCCTATATCCAATGTAATAACTGTAAAATAAAGTCTCATTAAAAGATAACAAACTCTTGGCTCATGAATTATGTATGTACTTGGTAAAATTATCTTAGATTTTATGTCTGCCAAAAGTCAGCATCAGTAAATATGGTAGTTTTATTAATCTTTCAAAGAAGTTTTCATGTTTCAAAAAATATCATTTGATATCAGCTGGGCATAGTGGTGAAAGCTTTTAACCTCAGTTACTCAGGAGGCTGAGGCAAGAGGATTACAAGCTTAAGGCAAGCCTGGGTAACCAAGCAAGATCTTGTCTCCAAATTAAAATAAAACTGATTCACTCATATAAGGCCTTATATCGGTATAAAATACACCTCTACACATATTGTTAAAATGTAAGATTGGCAAAGTAATGATATATAAAAAGAGTGAAATATGCCAAAGTGTAATGATCTTATTACATTAATTGTGGATACAAAAAAAAAAAAAAAAAACAAATTAATTTCAATAAAGACCATTGACAAGGTAAATAAAACTTCAAGCATGAAAAGATTATTTTTCAGGTAGAGGGCTCCCATAGACTTTTGGAAATATAGCTATTAAATTTTCTGTGTAGTCTATGGAAACACGCATTAAAGTACTCAGGTATTTTTCTTTGTGGTATGCACAGTGATAAAAATTAAAGCCCATTTGCATCCATAAACTGGATCATGAGGGCCCAACTTCCTTTGAGCAGCAGACCTACCCACTTACCTTCATGGCTCAGGTCTGGCTTATTCCAGGAGGATGAGGAGAAGCGGCCAGGCTTCTTGCGAGGACTGGTGTTCACTTTTCTCCAGGAACTGCTCTCTCCTTTTTTCTTGCTGTAACTTGAAACTATGGACAAAGGGAAGCTTCCTCCTTTGAAATCAGCTGTATGCTGGTCTAGCTCTGCAACAACAAATTCCAGTTTGCCAAAGGGAAGGTAGTGATGATGAAGTTTCATAGGATAAAGCAAATTCCACCTCCAATTCTCAGAGAGGGACTCTTGGAAAAATCACAGTTCTGCTTAATTCCCAAGTTGGGTCTTTGTGGACTGGTGCACATCTTACTTGGAGTTCTAGGATTCCAACATGAGCCAGTAATTGAAAACAGAGTTCTGACTAGCTTAGATGTCCATCAATAAAAAAAAAAAATGAAGAAAAATATATACACAATGACTTTTATTCAGCCATTATGAAGAATGAAATTATATCATTTGCAATGTACTTATTAAAAAGAGAGTTCTGGAGCAATGTTATGAAGTGCCTATTAATTTCTTTTCTTACAAAAAGACAAAAAAGAAATCCTTAAAAACAAATTCCAACAAGTATTATATGAGGGTGAATTTCCTCTCTTCCCTGCAGGAACACACATACCTGCCCTGGGGAGGGGACAGCCACGCAGAACAGCTTTGTTAAGCAAGATGCTGAGAGCAGCTTTAACCACAGCCTGCTGTCCTTGGCTAGGGTGCTTTTTAGCAGCAGTCTGCCCAAGGCCAGGCTGTCTTTTCACAGAGGCTCTTGATAGTATTGCTTCTTGAACTCTGGGTGCGATGATAGCATTCCACAGCTTAGACATCCACCTTGCAAGAGAGATTGATTCACCAGTTAGCATCAGGCCTCTCACCAATTACTCACAACTCCACAAAGGACAGGTGTGAAGACCACGGAGAAAAAACAAATGCTTCCATAGATTTGCTACCTTATCTGGGTAGATTTGGAATAAGTGAAATTACTCAATTTAGACTCAAAAATTCATTTCAATAAAAGCAATTCTTTAACATCTTTCTCTGAATCCTGAAATCGATGCCTGAGTGTTTTGTCTGAATAAATGAACAAATAAACACATGGAAAGAATTTAAATAGTGAAGGAATCTGGAAAATGAAGATTTTCTGAAAGTTCCTACCTAAATAGTTTAAACTTATTTGCTACATATTTTTAATAAGACACACAATACTGTATCTGAATATTTCTGAAGTTGGGATCAATTTTTTAATCACTGGCAAATTAAATCTGTCTACCCCAAGGAAAGGGCTCATGGTTGCAGATGGGAGGACTCAGCACTGCAGAGAGAGGACAGGGTCAACAAGCCATGGCCTCTGGTGGACTCTATGCACTCACAGCTGTAAGCCACAGGAGTTTAGCCCAAATTTGAAGCACTTGATGCCACACAAAATTCCTTCAAAAGACATTGTACTTTGTTGTAGCACTAAAAAAAACCATTTAAATAATTAAAGATGGGAAAGTCTGCAAAGATATCAGATATTGGCAGGAAAGTTTTAAGTATTGTGAGGTATTAAGCATTAACCTAATGTGAGTTTCTCTGTTAATGTCTAGTGATGCATAATGCAAGGAAAAAAATAAAACTACAATAGGGAATAGAAATGAAAATTCTGGTATTCTACAATAGGAGTCTTATTTCTAAAAGCATTTAAACATACATAGAACATAAGCTTTATGTGTTTGTTTGTTTTCATTCATTTTTTTTTTTCTTAAAGGCAGCTCCTTAACATGGCTATGGGGAAACAACTGACCCTGGCATTTCTGCACAGCCTGTATTAGCTCTTGCCAGCATTCTTCTTTGGAAGACTGAAGGTTAAAGGTCCACACCTGTGATGCAAATCCAGTATTACCTGGGCCACCAAGATCACCCTGTGGCACTTGAGAGCTAAGTGGAAAGAACCTATGTAGGTAAAGTTCTTTGTTTCCGGTCCAGAAACCATGGCAGGGAAATGCCCCAGCTTGCAAACAGGCCAACAGGGTAAAAACCTCAGCATCTCCTACAGTTCATGTCAAACACTATCCTCTGTATGGGTAGTTTCTGAGACTTAGTTTCTAAGACTCTGGAGGTTAAAAAACATTTTTTTTTACTTAATTGTGAGAGATATGAAAGCAGCAGTCCCTATATCCATAAATGCATTTGTTTTACAGTAAGAACATGCTGTTTAACATTTCTTCCTTTCCCTGAAGTTAGCTGTTATTAATTTGGTGGTTTATCCTCCAAGAAGGAAAATATTATTTGCCGCCTCTGCTTTCTAAAACAGATTTCTGCCCAGGATGACAGAAAATTCAAGAACAGATCCTGTAGTTAATCACAGGATCCTCACTAAGCCACACAGTGACAAACTTCCCTCCTTAACACTTGTTTTTGATTTTCTAATTCATTGACTTTATTGTATGTATGTCTCCTAAGTTGCTTCAAATGAAAACATAGTAAGTGCATAGTATTAATAAAGGAGGAAGTTTTTCAACTTATCAATGGACTGCTGGTAGTGGTTTTGTTTTTGCAGGGGTTGAGGGCATAAAAGTGCTCCACATGGGACCTTGCCCAGGACACCACACAGCAAGCCAAACATGGTTATGACGAGAATTTTGTGATAGAGGAAAAACTGCTACCTAGTTTTTAGCAAAAATAGTTATCTTAGTAACTACATGAGAAGCCCTGGTCACCATGTACATTCTGTGTTAAAGACAGAAGGGAGCATAGCAGTTTGGTCAACATTTTCACTATCTGACATCCAAAATGTGCTGATGTCCTATTTTAAGTAGGAAAATAAGGAGAACAAACTTACTTCACTGTTGCTTGGGCATGTCCTGGGACTACAGGACAAGACAGGAAATACTTTGGTCCTAGAAGTGCTTCAGGTGTGCCCAAGCGGGCCAGGCAGGAGTTGAGCTGTCGCCAGACAGACAGAGCCCAGTCAACGGTTCTGCACACAGGATCACAGGGTAAAGGCACCTGACCTCTGAACTAGAAAGAGGGATGGACACAGAGGCTTGGCTTAGAACAATGCTTATTTTCCCTTTGCTTTTAAAAGTCCAAAAATAAAAATGTAAGTATTTGAAATGATGAAACAAAAATCTAGCTGAATCTGACTTTACCTTTGCCTGGAGTGGTTGAAGGAGAGAAAGCTTAAAATACACAATTCGGTATATTCACACATTAGAGTGATAAAAGCTTTTCTCATTTAATTCTTTGCAAGCCTAAAGAAGGCATTTTCACTCCATTTTACACATCAGAAGAATGAGACAGAAGGAAATAATAACTTGCCCAAGGTCATAAAGGTAATAGTTGACAAGGCGAGGGCTATAGCTTATTTATTTTTACATTAAAGCATAATTGACAAATAAAAAGTATAATTACAGTATACAACATGATGTTTTTATAAATGTATTCATTGTGAAATAATTAAGTCAAGCAACTTAACATATTCCTTACTTTATATACATACTACTTTTTTTTTTTTTTTTTTTTACAGTGGGAACATTTAAGACCAGCAATTTTCTACTATACATTATTAACTATATATAGCTCATTTTTGGAAGAATAATAACATTTGAATACAGTATTTGGCTGAAATAATAAAGAGTACTCACATTTAAAATAATGTTAGTAATAATGATCAGACTAAATAACACCTTTTTCTTCTTCAATTCAAGTTTAACATTCTGATGATCTCTGTTCAAGCTTTATCTCTGGGGTCAGTCAGGAAAGAGGAAGAGATTTGGCTGTGTGGGCAGCTGACAGAGGAAGAGGGGTCTCCCAACTGCCTCGTCAAGACCACACGCTAAGTAAGGGAGAGCAGGGCAGAGCTCTTGGTTTTAATAGAGTCCCCATGGAATCATTATTTTTTCCAGGAAGATTGTTTCTTAATGACTATCCATGAACTACTTCCAAAGAACTGTTAGGTAGCCTGATGAAGAAAGACATTTCATAATTCCCAAAGGTGGGATGAAATCTGCATACCCCGAGGTCCTGAAAAACAGGTGGGCACACCTTCCCTCTGAAGTACAAATTTTGTTTACATGAAATTTCTCATTCTGCAAGTTGGTTGTTTTATGGTAACAGTGGTTATTATGTGACAGAACATTAGAAGCTGGTGCCTATCCAATAAATAGAACTTCCAGTACTACATGTTTTATTTCCTTAATTTTATTACTTTAGCATAAATACGATTTCATAGAGATGCTTAGAGGCCTTTGTATTTATTGTATGTCTACTATGTATAGCACTAATTACACTGTGAAGAGGAAAAAAAAATTGAAACATGTTTGTTTTAAATTGTTGCTGGGGATTGAACCCAGGATCACATGCATGCTAACGTGTCTTCTACCACTTGGGCACAGGGCAAAGTGTGTGTCCTTTATAACTACAGAGGAGGACAAAAGAAAAGATGTGTCCTGGGACTCTGGAACTCAGAGCCAGCTCCAGGGGACAGGAGGTCTGAAGAAGGTACACAAGTGTCTTTCTATGGTTAAACTTTAACATCTGTAAAATGAAAATGTTGGTACACAATATCCTCAAGATCCCTTCCAAACTGACAATCTTTAAGTACAGATACAAGTCGCTAGGGTAATTTACAAGGATTAAGTCAATAAATAACTGCAGGTCAGGGAAAACAAGGAGATTCAGTGGGACTTCAACTGATCTCCCAGGATGTGAGAGACACTTGGTTGGTGAGGGGAGGTAAGAAAGAGCATCCCAGACATGGATGGAGAGGTAACAGGGGTAGAGGGATACAAATAGATGCTGATGTTTGCATATAATAAAAGGGGTGGAAAATGAGAAGCTTGCACAGGTAAATCACCTCAGTAACTGTTACTGATTCAAGTACTGGATCTGATCCCTCTGCCCAGCACATCATCAAAGGAAGAAGTCACTGCACCACTGTCTTCCAGTTCCTAACACAACATGCTCTTCTCCCTTATGTTCGTGATTTCTTGCAACTGCTGTTGCTTCTGCCTGTACCCCTTCCCCACTATTCTCAGCTGATCCTTTCCCACTAAAAGGCCCTCCTTCCCATCATTCCTAAAATAAATACTCTTCCATGGTCCTACCCTATTTTCTATAGCAGTACCCCCTCATCTGTTTTTGTCACAGAGCTTATTAGTCACCTGTTCCCTGAAACGAGCATGATGTCTGTGTTGTGCCTATGAAGCCACAGAGAATCAGAATTGAGAATACAGTATAATCTGATGTCATATCAAATTCATGGCCCTGCTTCTCAGGAAGAGACAAGGCTTAATTAGGTGACTGTAGTACAGTAGTAAATAACAAAAGTGGGGTTATACTCAAATCCAGCCTGTGAATTAGATTATCTGTCCACTGAACCCACCCCACTGACAGAACATTAGAAGCTGGTGTCTATCCAATAAATAGACACTATGTCCATAATGCTGGTGGAAGGGACTCTTCTGGCTCCTCCTGGTACTGAGATAAATCTGAGCCCTGGTCATGAGTCCTCACCAAACTCTCTTGCTGATACACAATGTCAGCCAGTCAAGAAAATAACCCTACATGGAGAAATAACCCAAGTTTATTGAGATGGTGACATTTTTATCCTCATGAATATTCAGAATTAAATATCATAATATCTATGTTGTTGCTATTTTCTGGGTAAGAGATAATCATATATTTGGTGTTTTCAAGAACTTCTTTATTTGAATGTTACATATTAGGATGGTCTCATATTACCACTTTAAAATGGTAACTGAGTTATTGATTCAGCATGTCATTTCTAAGTGAAAAGGGATAAGAGAAACTCGCTAAGTTTATATAAACAGTACAAGAAGTAGGAAAACACTTAAATTGCTGGATTTAAAAATTTAATTTTCTGGCTTTAAAAGAGTTAATTAAGTACTTAGGAAGATTTATTAAAAGTTCTTAAAAAGAGAGATTAAAATATATTTAAGTTTTAAAGGCTAATTAAGTAATTTCCTGGAATTTAATTGACTAAATATAAATGCTCCTTTAAAGGTGATTATTAAATCCTGCTAGCTTTAACACATAAAAATAAAACTAGAATAAGAACAGAAAAGCTTGAGGAAAAGCTGGGTATTTGGATGTGTCTTTTTTTTAAAAAAATAGCATTTAAATAATCTTTCCCAATAAAAACTATCCAACAAGGCTCTCACCCCAGATGATGGCTCCTTTTTATAGGCCTGTCTTTCCATGAGAATGTGAACTTCAGAAGGGTGGGGAGGATGCCCTGACACACCCTACAGTTCTGGGTCGGGGGTGAATGTCTACTGAGTAAGTTGGGAACACTGTTCAGATGCACCTCCAAATAGCTGTCCATGGTTATGCTTATCACAATGTATTCTGATCAGTTTCCACAGATAAAGGTCCATCAACCCTGTTACTGGGTCTTTCTTGGTCTGCCAAAGAGTGAGGACTTAAGAAAAAAAAAAAAAAAACAAAAAACCGCTAAGCTTGACTGACTTCATGAATAGGCAAGAAGTTCTAAGTCTGGATGACTGGATCAGAAGGGGAAACTGGAAGTCAGTTTGAAGCAGGCAGGACGCATTTGCTCTGGTTATACGTGAGCTTGAGGTATATGCTAGCACATCCTTTTGAACCTGATGACATGAAACAAACAGAACAATATGCACTCTAGAAAGAAACTTGAATGAATTCTTAAACATCAGTTCTGGAAGAAATCATCCTTTGCATGTATACAGAGTACCTCACAGGGCCTTGCAGATAGCAGGTGTTCAGAATAGGTTTTCGAATTAATGAAACAGGAATGACGTTAAATATTTCCTATTTTGGGTAAGTGATGACGGTGTATCTGAATCTGTGGCATGCTCACCTTGCATTATACTTCAAAATGTTTTTTGAAAACTTTTCCTAAAAGAAAGGTCTCAGCTAAAATGCTAACATCACCAAAATGTACAGAGCTCCGTAGACATAAAGAAATTTGTTTTCAAAACTTAAAATGTGCAAATTTTAAATAATACTGTATAACACATTTGATTTAATGGGAGCAATTCTTTCTAGAACTATATTTGATAAAACCAAGTCCTTTCTTGGTGGTACAGAGGGTTCGCAGAAGGACAAAGATTTATTTACTATTAGGAGGAATATTCCTCAATCATTTAGATGTCAGATATAGTAATTAACATTCATCTTATAAGAAAGGAGATTCACGTAAATCTTCCTTTACTACATATTAGGATATTGAGAGTGGTGACAACTGTGCACACTGTTATGTCATCTACATGTAGGAAATAAAGAAATAATTTAGCCAAGAAAAAAACAAGAGTTGTTCAGTGACAGTACCAGCTCCCCTAAATTGATATCCCCGTGTTACATAAGGCTTTGTTACAATAACTTCCTTCTCTTCAAAAGAGAAATAATCATTATAAATCCCCTACTTTCTCTGATATTCTTCCAGCAAGAATTCTGAGTTCAGCATTATAATTAAAGATAGCAAAATATTAACTTTCCACTAAAAAGGTATAATTATTTTTTATTAAACACTAGTAGGAAGCCTAGTATTATACTGAAAGATCTATTTTCTTGTATCATTTAAAGAATTAAAAAAAAAAAAACTATAATCAAGTGCCAGTGTGCTTTTAAATGACTACAAGAATTAGGGTTTTGGATGCTACAAGATTTCTGATATTTGGTGGTCCCACTGTGCATTTACCCCAGGGGATTCATTTTATTTACCTACATTGAAGTGATTCTGGATAAATGAAAGGCATTATCCTCCCTGCTTCTATTCTCTATAATACACCCCACTCTCAAACACAATACAAAAGAGCAGAGCTCCATTTCAAACTGTCAGAAAGCTAGGGGAAGAGGGTGCCAATTCTACAGCAGAAAACTGGCATCTTTTGTGATTATGTGATTGACTTTGGTGATAAGATTTAAGTATTAACAATTATAAAGTTAAGGGAAGCATCAGTGATTTGAAAGGCTACTTCCCTACTTGGTCTTTACTCCACTCTTCTTCCTACTCGTTGAGGTCCTACAATGGCGGTGCTTTGGCCAAGAGAACATATTTAAAACCAGACAATTAACATTAGTGTAATTTGGGGTATATTTCTCTGATTAAATTCAGAATTTCAGATATTAATTCAAATCAGACTGTGGCAGACAGTGTCCACTAAATTACCAATAGCCACTCCCATTCCGTACTCTTCTGTACCCCTCTGCATGCACACTGACCCACTCTAATATAACAGAAACAGACTTTTGTTCAAGTACTTGATGGAGAGCTTGAGTCTTTGAAAGGTAGCTCTTGGCATGGTGTAGGACCGAGGGGGTGGGAAAGAAAGCACTTGAAACATTAAAGAGAAGTCTTAGGTTTCTGGGAGTTTCTGAAAAGATACTTTCCTCTCTGGTAAGAAGGAAAACAAGGAAGCTCTTTATTATTCACTGTACCCCACTTTCTGCCTTTGAACCTGCTGCAGTGAAGGCTAAAGTCCTGTGGACGAGCTTGTCTTGAAAGGATGGTTTTGAGACACCCTCCCCCCCAATCCAGGCCCTGATGCTTTGGGGATGCTTAACACCTACCACAAGCCACCTGCTTACATGAGGGGGTTCTGATATGTGCAGCTTAAAATAATATACTGATAAAATTATGACACTGTCCTCCAAATGGTCCATGGTGCAATAGTAAATGAGAAAATCACACTAAATTGAGCTTCATTGCTTCAAATCTTCCCTGAAACTCAGTTATTGGTCCAATTTAAGACAATTAAGTTGAAGAATGTGTTATTTTCAATCAACACAGCATTATTTTTATTTGGGAGACTATAATACTTATTATTCTTTGGAAAAAAATCACTAGTAGTTATTACTACTATTCCTGAAAATGTGTCAAAAGATAGAGAATTTTTACTTTTCATTTGTTTACCACAGAACGGGATAAGGATAATAATCCTATATTAAATCTTATCCAAATGGATGGAAAATGTTTGGAAGGCTCATAGGAAGCAGTGAGTTTTCCTTAAGAAGAGTGATTAACTTTCCAGTCTCTACAGCATTTACACTTGGTGAGATTCCTTGAGAAAATTTAATTACAGTAAAATATATTAACCTTTTCTTATACTTAATATGCTCCAAAGACTGCTATGTGTTTTCCATGTACTATCTACCACTAACAACAGTAAAATCTTTTTACATTTTCTTATTCTTAATATAGTCCAGAAACTGTTATGAGTTCTACATTCATTATCTTATTTTTCCCCTGAATTTCCACAGATTGCTTCTGCCTGAGGCCACACAATAAGAGGAACTCCAGCCCGAATCTCCTCCCGCACCAGGATGCAGCTGCTGTTTGTTACCTTATTCACGACTTTCCTTCTCAAGAACCTCTGTAGCAGTCCTTGCATGGGCTCACAATCCCATCGCAGCTGAACCCAGCGGAAATGTTGTTGTACCAGCAAATCGGAGCCCTGGAGACAGGCCTTGGCAATGGTTCCCATCAGAAAGCAGTTCTCATGAAAGTAATAACATTCAGACATTCCATTTCCTAAAACAAGCCAAAAGCCATGGTCCAGTCTCAGCAAGTCATAGTATGGGATAAGTCCAAATTAAAGTTAAGTTAAATAAAGAGGAACAAGAAGCCTAACTGGTATTCTGGGGAACAGAAGGGCTAGAGGGTATCACAGAGCTGGTAGAGTGGACTGTCTACTACCTTTACCTTTTTGGAAAGTACATGGGCTTTCAGTACTGCGATTCTCAAGAGGTGCCAAAAAGTCCCCCAACAACTCAGACAATGAAGATTTTTCCAAATTCTCTAAGATGATGATGATTTTCTTCTTAACTGGAGATTGTTTCACTGGAATCAGACAAGCTGTGATCAAAAAGGAAATTAGGGATTAAAGTTTTTACAAGAACCTATATAAACTGGCAAGTTTTTTGCTTTGACGATCTTTTAAATAATTTATTCTGATTTGTTATATATGACAACAGAATGCGTTTCAATTCATATTACATATAAACAGCACAATTTTTCATATCTCTGGTTGTATATGGAGTCACACCATTTCTGTCTTCATACGTGTAGAGTAATGATGTCCATCTCATTCACTGCCTTTCCAACCTCCATGCTCCCCCTAACCCTTCCTCCCCTTTGCCCTATCTAGAGTTCATCTATTTCTCCAATGTGTGCCACCACACACCCCAGCGCCATCTCCATTATGAATCAGCATCCTTAGAGCAGAGAAAACATTCAGCATTTGTTTTTTTGGGGGATTGGCTTACTTCACTTAGCATGATATTCTCCAACTCCATCAATTTACTGCAAATGTCTTGATTTTATTCACTTTTATTGCTGAGCAATAGTCCATTGTGTATATGTACCACATTTTCTTTATCTATTCATCTATTGAAGGGCATCTAGGTTGGTTTCACAGTTTGGTTTGTGAATTGTGCCTGTGTCCCTGTAGTATGCTGTTTTTAAGTGCTTTGGGTATAGACCGAGGACTGGGATAGCTGGGTCAAATGGGTCAAATGGTGGTTCCATTTCCAAGGAATCTCCATACTGCTTTCCAGATTGGTTGTACCAATTTGCAATCCCATCGGCAATGTATGAGTGTGCCTTTCCCCCATATCCTCGCCAACACTTATTGTTGTATGTATTCTTAATGGCTGCCTTTCTGATTAGAGTGAGATGAAATTTTAGTTTTTCTCTAATTGCTTGAGATGTTGAACATTTTTTTCATATATTTGTTGATTGACTGTATATCATCTTTTGAGAAGTGCCTGTTCAGTTCCTTGGCCCATTATTGATTGGGTTATTTGTTTTGGGGGTCAGCAAGATTGGTAGATTGTAATGGACATCATTATCCAAAGTACATGTATAAAGTCTCGAATTGGGTGTCAACTCTGTTTATATAAATATATAAACAGAGATATGAAAAATTGTGGTATATATGTGTAATAAGAATTGTAATGCCAAAAAAAAAAAAAAAACCTAAAACAAAGTTCATGTATAAAGGCACAAATTGGCATGAACATACTCTATATACATCTATATAGAAAGAAATTAAAGAAGACCTTAGAAGATAGATAACCTTGCTCTTGGATAGGTAGATATGTATATAGAGTTATCAAATATTTTGATGAGAAAAATTTAAAAGAAGGAAGATATAAAGTGTTATCCAAAAGTGGTATGTTGGGCATACTCTGAAATTGCTGAGGGAGTATGACTCTGGAAGAGAGTCTGACATTCCTTACTGCTGTTGGAAGTGCACAGGAGATTCCTGGCTCCCTAACAGATTTCAAATGGAACCAACCCAATGGCCATCAATAAGTAAATAGTAATATATTTATGCAATGGATATGAAAGTGAACAAATTACAACTCTAAATAATGGAATAGAAGACTATTACAAACAATATATTAAGCAAACCACCAAAGAATATTATTTCTAAGTCAATCTGGTAGAAAAACGAAATGGAATGAAGCGGTCACTAGAGACTAGGAATGGTTGGGGATAATGGGGATTAAAAGAAGCCTAATAAGAGACAACAAGGCATAATTAAGAGTAGAGGAATTATTTCTGGTTCTCCTTTAACACAGTAGGGTAACAATTGGCTAAAACAACCTATATTTCAAAATGACAAGGAGAATACAAAATTCCCAATACCTAAAAAATGATAAATGTTTGAAGAGGTAGAAATGCTTACTCTCTTGATTATATTATTACACACTGTTTACATATACTAGATTACCATAATGTATCCCATAAATATGTGCTAGTATTATCCATAAAATCTATTATTTCAACATGTAAAATTAAAAACAGGAAACACTAAAAATATAATTTAGCCACTTACATAGAGGTAGTCAAACTATAAACCAAAACTAAAAAATGATTATTGCAAAAGATTGTTCATTGATCTGTAAGTATAAGTAGTGTTTTATATATGTCTCTTTCATGATACAAAAGATTAAAATGCTTAAATTACACATACATAAAATATTCATAAAATTATGTGAACGGGTCCTCAGAGAGAAAAGCAGATCCCTCCTATCATTTCACAAATCTCACAGAGGTTAAAGTGATTGGACTAAGGTGTTAGGAACAATAGTAAGGAAGGAAAAACATCTAGGACTTATAAGTCTTATTTGAGCATTCCTTCTACTTGGGATGGGAGGGACTGCTTTCCTATCAACTCAAATTGAAAGATGCAAAATAATGGGCTATTATTATTGTATTTAGGAAATGAATAAGTCAGTGTACAAAAGAGTTAAACAGTGCTGGCACTATGAAGTACGCAGATTTTATTAATATTTTACTATATAGATTTACTATATAGATGTCAATCTATGTAGTCCTTCCTATATACCATTTAAAAATTAAATTTCAATTTTTAGATGATTCTAAAACTTTCCAGTCTTATTCAAATTAACCTTGAAAAAAGAAACAATTTTAAGTATTGAAGAATAATACTGTCAAGTATTCTGCTTTTCACAAATACTTGGAGAGCAGATTCTCTATTCCTTCTTGTTATTTATAGAGAATGCATTCAAATTTCAAAAGAATCCTTGAACATTATAAATGGCTCTCCTCTTAGACTGAAAAAGATTTCCTGGAGGCTACAAAGCTTTGAAAACCAGAAGACTAGAAATAGTAACAGCCACCTTTCAATTTTAGTTGTACTTGTAGGTGGCTATTACAATGGGGTCTGGTTGTGCTGGATTCTCTTTAACACAGCTAGCAATAAGAATGCTAGAATCCTATGCTTTCCAGAGTTCAAATATTATTCAAAATATGTGTATTGTGGAAGTATAATAAATGCATACTTGGTTTAAACAACCATTACAAACCTTTTCTACTCAATGATTTAAAAAACTCAAAACACCAGGTTGATGGTTTGTATATGTTTTTATGTAATTTAAAACTGAAGGCCTCCAGGTTTTCCCTGATTTGCTAGTTCAAGTGCCTTTGAAGCTGTTCCAACTAATTAAAAGTGTTAGAGAGAATATTTAACTGCATCAAAAAAATGTTTACCTAATCCTCCTTGCTACATGTGCTATGTGCTAAGTGTTATGGCATTCTGGAGGTGAGGGATTCTAACTAGGGAAAAAGTGGATTTTTATTAGCCCTATTCTGAGGAATGGAATCTTTACAGATGGACAGGTCAGAGGAAGGCCTCCTAGATTTAAGAGAGATTTTTTTCTAAACGGAGCAGTTCACAGCTCCAACACATAAAAAATGGGGCATCAAATCAAGGTGCACTGACTATGAGCTCATTGCTGATACATACCTCAAGTCAGGATTGGGCTGGGGGATTGGGGTGGTGCCATATGAATGGAATAGGATCAGACAGTCACCACCATGGGCAGCATCAGAGTAGCAGTGTGATGCACATTAGAATCACCTGGGATCCTCCCCTGAAATTCTCAGTGTCTCTGATTAATCAGTCTCCGTTGGGTATGGGGCACTGACATTTGTAAAGCTCCCCATGGCTGGAATTTCAGCAGACCTGCTCTTCTTAAGTCTCAAAATCCAGCCAAAACTGAAAAGTGGAAGATCCAGAATGAGATTTTGGGGGAGCAACCAGGGAATCAGTGAATTCTTTACAGAGGGGCATAAACAGGACTAGACAGCTGCTCTGAGGTCCTTACTCTGGTGTGAAGACATCAACTTGTGGGGAAAGAAATAAGAGAACGTATCTACTCAGCTCTTACAACTGTGGTGAAGGCACGAGGTGAAAAGAACCTCTCCCAGAACCAAGGTACAGAATAGAAGGCATTTTGAGAGAGACTCAGTAAGACATGGTGTTTGACTTACAGAAAGGGACAGAGAGGAAGAATCAGAGATGCACTGAAGTTCCCACTGAAGAACAGGGTGTGCAGTTAATGGAGACAGAGAGCACACAACCAAGATTATGCTTGCAAAAGGGATGATAGTGATGGGCTCTTTTAGGACTGATGTGTCTGATAAATGAAGCATCCTCTCTGAGATATCTAGCAGTGGGTAGGACATCATGAGGATGGGAACACCAGGGAGAATTCAGGCTGGGCATCCAAATGGCTTTTTGGCCACAGGTCAAAAGGAATCTACACATACAAAGTGCGGCAAGTGGCCTTCTTTTATGTCTACATAAATTCTGATAAGAGTCTGGTTAAACCTTTAAATTCAAAACTGAAGAGTTCCCTATTTCTTCCCTGGTCATCAGTGAACAGCATGGGCCCTTTGAAGAAGATGGTGGTAGTGGTGAAGGGTGTTTTAGAATATGAAGAGTGACATCAGTGGGGGCAAGATGAGAGGCTGACAACATAATGCTCAAGACATACATTCCAAGAACTTTAGATTTTATTCTGGAGCCTTTGGAGTATAATAGTGGGGGCACTGATGAGTGGTTTTGTATCCTAGAGTAAGTCTCCTGAAGTCCTCCATAGGGTCCTTGGTGGGAGTGAGGCCTGAGGAAATAAGAAGAGCAACAGAGGCCTCCACAGTCTCCTTACTGTGGTTGGCAAGGGAGATGGAGAGCGACAGCAGGAGGTGAGACAAAGGGAATGGATTCAACAGGACACACAGACTGCCTCTAGGGAGAGAAAGGCAAACTAAGGGATCTAGAATGTTCCAGCTGCTCACATGGCAGATTACAGTCAAGCTCTTACCAGGTGAACTTTGTACTAATGCTTTAGTTTTGTTATTAAAAGTGAAGGAAGATTTAATAAATATTTAATAAAAGTGTAAGTCAAATATAGAAATAAAAATCCTTCTGTATCCAAAGACATGACATTTCCTACTCCTCTCCTTACAGTAGTTTTTATTTGTTTTAGTCTATTGTTCAAAAATTTTTCTTTCCAGGGGCTGCGTTGCAGCTCAGTGGCAGAGTGCTTGCCTAGTATGTGTGAGACACTAGGTTTGATTCTCAGCCACACCTAAAATAAATAAAATAAAAGTCCACTGAAAACTAAAAATAAAGAAAAAATAACAACCAAAAACTTTTCTTACCAAGTCCAAAGCATTTTATCACTATGCTTTGTCATCAATAACTTCCTTATCAACTCCTGTCCTCTCTGCATTTATTGCTTTCTATCTTTAAGCAGGTTCTTCCACTTTCTGATACCTGAAAAGGACAAAGAATCCCACCACCACCCCTTTTTTTTGGCTTACAATGTTTCCTGCATCAGAAAATTCACCCATTCACTCCACACATAATTATTGGCAATTAGTACACAGGTTAAACAGAATAAGCTATAGTACTAGCCTTCAAGGGCCTCAGAATAGAACACATGCAGGGGGCAAAGCAGAAACCCAATCAATACCTTCACTGCCTTCAACTATAGTCAGGTCAGTACAGGGGTAAAAAAGATATCTCCAGATGTTCCCTAAGGGGATATGGAGGGATCAGAGAAGCCTCCACTTGAGGTGCCTGTAAAGCATTTTAAAGAGGTTTTTCCCCTAGTTTCTAGTGGGACAGAGGATGATGTCTGCTTTATCACTAGTGTTCAACATAGTCTGCATGGTCAATGTCATGTGGTTGTCATACAGTGTGTGTGGGAAGGGTGAGGGAGTTTACATGTTTACGCTGTAATGTTAGTTAGTGGCAGCTGCAGTTTTCACAAAGACATGGAGTGGAAAGGCAAAGGACAGACAAAGAAGAAAGAAATGCCACATCCTGCCGAAGCACAGACCATTGGTTTAAAAGAAAATCAGGTAGATCTATGCTCCAGAATGGAAGGCCTTGAATAGCATGGACTCAGTGCAAGGGCAGTGGAGGAGTAGGTTGCAGGAACCACAAACAACTTCCAGTCAGAGGTCTGTAGGCCAGTGATGAGTGTTCAAGAGGAGAAGCCATAGGCAAGAAGTCAATTACAGGAAAACAGATGTGCCAATGGGAATGGATAAAAAAAAAAAAAAAAAAAAGGTCAATGGGATATAACCACAGTCAGGCTATGGACAAGGATGAAAAGTCCATAAATGAGTAGAAACAATGACACCTACTTGCGTGGTGCTGTTGTGGAGATTGATTAGTGTACACAATGCATTTTCCAAACAGCCAATCAATGGCATACCAAAGTGAGATAAAATAGGCATTAAGGGGTGTACTGAATGTAGAGAATTTGTGAATAACCAAATTTACTTAAAAATAATCTTTTTCTTTTTTACATCATCATGCACCAGCAATTCTAGACAGCACCAAAGACATAATGTCCAGTCCCACAAGGGTGAATTGCTACCCTTAGTATACTACTAGTGCCAGTTATAAGTGTGCTCACAGCAATTACTGATTTATAAAAAGGATTTTAAAAAGAAGAGAATGCAAGGTGCTCAACAAATGCAACGTTATGCACATAAAAATAATTTTTTGGCAAGCATTCATCTGGGTTCTCTACTTTCACCCCACATCTACCAAATAACTAAAAAGTTGACTTAAACCTTTTTCTAAGCAATAAAGTTTATTTCCTTTCAATAGCATCATTGAAGGGCATGCCTTTGAGTTATCACCATCCAGCTTGCTGAAACTGTCTTACCGCTACTGATGAACAGATCTACTAGCTGTTCCTTGGAGAAACTAGCATCCACTTCAGCTCTCACTATTTCACAGGAGAATCCTGCAGCCAGTTGTCTGTACTATGATAACAAAACAGAATGATTAGTTCTACACACTTTCCAATTTTCAAATAAAAGGGAATGGTATGAAATTAATCAATACCTTCATGCAGAGTGCAAGCTGATGTGCTATGTATTCTTGCAGGCTTCCTTCTGGGCCATGGAAAATGACATTATGATATTGCTCAACCTGTTAACAAACCAAGAAAAACCCTTAGGTGAAGATGCTACATTGAAAAGAGGAAAGAAAAAATGGGTATGTAGGGATGGAATTCCCTTTCTAGTTATCCTCAGATCATCTGGTTGTAAGGTTTAAAATGTCTTAGGGATCATTTTATTCACTGGGCACTTGAAGTTTTTCATTTCATGTGAAACATGGGCAAAGAATTTTTAGCAACAGCTGACATTTTAATGAAAAGCATACATTTATTTGCTTCCTACCATTTTCTACAGAAGGTTTAGCATGGTGACTGAAAAGTTTACTAGAGGATTTTGTCTCTTGCAGATGCTCATTACTTTGAATTTCCCAATGCTTATTTTATTTTTTAATAGTTAGAGCAGCAATGCATTTCATTAAGAAATTTTGGAAAATATAAAGTAGAATAAAAATCCCTGATAGTATCAACACTGAGAAGCAAAAACTGTTGAACCTTTTTCTTTTCAGGTTTTAGTTTACGTAGTTGTGTGTGTGGGAGGATATATGAGTGAGATCATTTTATAGCTGTTGTATGTCAAAGAATATCTTTGTGCAGATGTCTTAGGTAAAATACTACTTGATGGGTATAAAACTCCTGGGTCAACTTTATATATTATTTCATCCTGAAATTCAGTGTTTTGATTACATCTAGGTAGAGATGGATCATTTTTACTTTCAAACAACAAAACATCCTGCCTGGATGCCTCTAGGATATTTTAAACTTTATCATCATATTTATGAATATCAAGAGAACATGTGGAGATTCAGCATGCCATTGGACAGAAAGCCAATTGTCATCTACCCAGGGCAGAGACAGCTAAGTCTGGAGCAATATGTGGAGGGGAGGTCAGGTTTCCACTTCAGTCATTCCAGGTCTGTGCCCCATTCCTAGCACACAGACTTCATAGAAGTTTTCTTCTTTGAAAGGTCTTGCATAAACAAATCAAATCAAATCAAATCCAGACTGTCAAAGTTCCAACTTAATCAATACAGTTGGTACTGCTCATGTGTGAAGATGGAGCCGCCAGGACTTAAGGAAGTGTTAAGCCTGGAAAGGTCTGCTCTCTCTAAAACTTGGGACAATGTAAAGACATGTGTCTTTCTACTATTATTATTCCTCTATTTCACTCTCATGAAGTTGCCCCTTTCACATCACAGGGAACAGCCACAACCTTGATGGTATATCCTAAATATGTCCCTGGGTTCTTCATTATAGAAAGAGAAAAATTCTGGGATATAAAAGGGAGGCTTTAGGGGAAACCCTTAGCATGTACTAAAGAGGGAACTCCTCCTGTATCTGGGGACTTTAAGACTTAAGCTTTGTCGTCCAGGGAGATCAAGACATGCTTGAATGACCTCTTTCAAAGGGGGAAATTCAGGTTTCACTACCAATTGTCAGATGGTGAGGTAAGTAGAGAAGTGTCCATCAAGGAGGGGTTCCTTCATTTAGGGCTGTGTTTTAGGGTCTTAAAGACAACATATTTGGTAGACACCAGTGATATTCTTTGAAATTAAATCCTATACTTTGGTAAGCCTTCAATAAAAGCCTTACCAATGCCTGCAAAGACAGTGACTGGAGCTTCCCAAGGATGTCAGATCCCACAGCCACAGGATGAACTTGGCATTTGCCTGGACTATTCTCTGTGGTATTGGTGGTTTGTGAGCCAAGAAATGTGGAGGTATAGGCAAGGACCAAGACTGGGGTGAGAACTTCTCCAAAGACACAGGAGAGAGAATATCCTAGAAAATCCAACTAAGGTTGACCTCTAGTCTATAGGGTTATGGCTCCATGAGACTTTAGGGATAAATTATTATTAAAGAATTACTATTGTCAGATGTGGTAGCACACAGCTGTGATCCCAAAGGATCAGAGACTCAGCAAATTAGCAAGACCCTTAGCAACTTATCATATTCTCTCTCTCTCTCTCTCTCACACACACACACACACACACTCACACACACAAGAACTAGAGATGTAGTTGAGTGGTAAGGTACTCCTGGGTTCAAGCCCTCATACCAAAAAAGAATTATTATTAAATAATCATCTTCTCTAATTTGTATTGGTGAGAATGGGAAGTCTGGGGAATATATGGTTATATTTGTCATTGGGAAAAAAAAATGTCACCCAAACCGGGCATGGTGGCTCATGCTTGTAATAGCAGCAGCTCTGGAGGTTGCGGCAGAAGGATCACAAGTTCAAAGCCACCTCAGCAACTTGGTGAGACCCTGTTTCTAAATAAAATCTTAAAATAGGGCTAGGAATTTGGCACCCCTGGTTTAGGCACCCCTAGGTTCAATCCCAGGTGTAGATCCCCCCCCCCCAAAAAAAATTGCCCAATTTGTGTAGCTTGGGCCTCTTTCTCCCAATCTTAAGTGGAATATGGGTCATTAGGCTTCCAGGGCTTAGGCAATTTTTCTTCCATTATGCTTTTCAGAACGTCTCCTTTTCTGGTTCTATTTCTGAGGAACATCTGTAATGTTTTAAGTTCTGCCTCTCTACTCTCTGTGAGGACATTTGTCCTCTTAACTCATCATTATTATAACACTGTTCTTCTCCTGCACATTCTGGGAGAGCTCCTAAACTTTAGTCTTGCATGGTATCAAATGGAATATTTACCATTTCATTACTGCTCTTGTAGAAAGTATAACTTCATGCCACTGTATTTTTAGTTGTTCCTTATATGTCCACGTCCTTTCCAACACTGTTTAATCTTAGCTCAGACTCTACAGTTTTCTTCAGTCTGTCCACTCACATTCTACAGAGAATATGAATTTCCAAATATTTTGTACATATTTTTCTAGTTGCTGTGGTCTCATGTTCATGTTCCCCATCCCTCAATTCATATGTTAAAACCCTGGCTTGTAAGATGGATGGCATTAGTAAGTGGGGCCTTAGAAAGTAACTAGTGCCCTTATAAAAGAGGCCTAAAAGACCCCTTGTGCCTTCCACCACATGAAAACCCAGCAAAACACTGTGAACCAGGAAACGGGTCCTCTCCAGATATTGAATCGACTGATCCTTAGATCTGAACTTCCCAGGTTCTAGAATTGTGAGAAATAAATTTGTTTATAAGCCACCCAGTCTATGCCATTTGTTGTAGCCATCTGAAAGGACTAAGACAACAGTAAATAATTTTCCCTAGGTTCTTGGAATGACAATTGTTCTGTGGTTTTCTTTCATAGACATATTAATTTTTTAAAATTTTTTTTGAGAGAGAGATAATTTTAATATTTATTATTTTTTAGTTTTTGGCAGACACAACATCTTTGTTTGTATGTGGTGCTGAGGATCGAACCCGGGCCGCATGCTTGCCAGGCGAGCGCGCTACCTCTTGAGCCACATCCCCAGCCCAAGACATGTTAATTTTTTATTATTGTTATATGGTGTGAAACCCAGGGAAAGAATTTTGTAATGAAGCAGAAGGTGCAAACCTCTACTGCCTTTACTTGCTACCCATTACTTTTCTGGACCCCTTCTTTAAGGGGTCCACTGAGTGGAGGACAAGCTGATGTCTATAGTTGCTAGTTAAACTCCAGGATCTAGGAATAGCTGAAGTGGTATGGACTTCTCCCATCCAACACAGTAGACAAATGCACGAGGATAAACTGCACCAGGCTCTTCCTATGTCCATCCCCACCTGGAGCGCAGTCTCACCAATCAGCAACAACTTCTTGCTGGTATATTTCTAGCTGCATTTTATAAATGAATACATAAGAGCAGGGAGCAGAGGAAAATCTTATGTGCTGCAAAAGCAGAGTCTAAATACCTCAATTTTCTTTTTTCCCCCTAAATTTTATAACTGGTATAAATCTTACTTTTGTAATCATTAGGAAGACAGTAAGAGAAGGATGATAGTGTTTTCTACCTAATTTCAGGGAGGCCTCATATAAGTGGGCCTAACACTGTATTGACCCTGAAGGTAAGTGAATAATTTTCCAAATTCTTAACAAAGAAAGACTCAGTTCTATTTTTTTTTTCTGGTATTTTAAGTTTTTTGTCATACTTCAAAAGTACTTTAGTGGGAAATAATATAGTAGGTACTGGTAGCCAGGTGCAGTTTTAAGCCAGAACCCTTGAGCTCACCAAATTAATCCAAATGGCTATGGATTGTTAGGTAGAGCTTGTCTCACAAGGAATCAATTGTTTCATACCAGTGAAACAGGATACAGATTTTCAAGATTTACTGAATGTCTATCCCTGAGATTTTCAACTAGTATTGCAATTTAATCTTGTTTCACTCCCAAAGACAAGAGTGCTCTATTCATTACAGCCATCCTGCCAAACTGCCTACACTTCCTGAAGATTGATTTTGAAATCATACAAAAGCAAAAACCCAACTTCATAATAATCTGTCTTCAATTTCAACACCTCATCAGTCCTCAGATTGCAGGAGTTTTTAAAGGGAAAAAACAGAAAACATTCATTGAAAACATAAAATTTCATTGAAAAGGCCATTTGGTAGAAGTAAACCCTTTGTATTTAGTTAGTCTAATATCACTCGTAGGATATGGTGGAATATAAATAAATAAGTAAATTATATAGGTAAAGGGAAAAACAAGCGTGCCACATTTTCAGATCATTAATACATTCTAATACACTAGGAGTCTCTTATTTCAGGTATTGCACAATTTTTTTGGTAATTTTTTTTTGTAATATTGGATCAATGAAGTATAATTATGTTGGTTACCATTTAAAATCTGAACAAAAAATTAATTACTGTGAGTAAATTACTGTTACTCTATTGATACTGGTGCAAACCTGAAAAAACTTGGTCAAGGTAATGCATTTATCTATTTCAGAGCTACATTACATTTCTTTGAATATAGAAATCTTGGATATGATAAAAATGCATGCTCCATGCTTCCAGCAGAGGGCTCTAAAGATAAACGGATGAATGGATGGATGGGTGGATGGAGCTATAGGCCGACTTTTGGGGGGGTGGTGATTACAACTGTCCTCGTTGTGTTTAAAGGAGATCTGTTCTTTGCAAAAA